GCTCTTCAAGGCAAATCTCTGGAAGAACTGACAGGTCTTCAGCTAATTTTGGATGCCTTTTGCTCAACTGTCATGCTGTTACTGCCAAAGTCCAATCAGTGTCCAACAGCCTGGCCTCAAGCCTCTCCCTGGAATAGGGTCAGTCTGGGCTAACAGGCTGTGGCTGAATCCTGGAATGGTTTGGGTGGGAAGAGATCTTAAGGATCATCTCATTCCAACCCCCTGCCATGGGCAGGGACACCTTCCACTAAGACCAGGTTGCTCCAAGCCCCATCCAAGCTGGCCTTGGACACTTCCAGGGATGGGGCATCCACAATTTCCCTGGGCAATCCGCTCCAGGGCCTCACCCAACAGCTCAGATTCTTCCCAGGAAACTAAAACCGCCATTCTGTGTCAAAACCAGAACTGACAGCATGTCCTTGCATTGCTTCACTTCATCCCACAAAAAAAGCTGGCCACGAGGTTGTTCCCAAGCTTTCCATCAGCCCTTCCCTGCTCTAGCAGTCCCCCATATCCCTTTCAAGCATCTTTTCCTCCTCCAGTGGTCTGGGTACAGCCGGCTATTGCATAACCCTAATTATGTGATTGCTGTAATTGCTCTGCCGTCTGCAGCTCATGGATTCGTTACAAGCTTTTCATATGCTAAAATGATTATTAATGAGCGCAGTCCCAACCCAGCGACAAACAACAACGGCGACAAAAAGATCTTTTGGAAGGCAATTAGCTCCATGCTAAGCTGCCTAAACCATGGGCTGGGCTGGAAAATTTCAGGCTGGAGAGGAAGCACTGGCAACACGGCTTTTCTCTTCCCTTTTTGTTGAGTTAATGAGTTACTGAGTGGCAGCAGGCACAGTTATTCTGGTGAAACAGCTCCCCTAAGGAGCCTTTCCAGGTTGGTGCTGAAGGAAAGAGCATTTACCCCTGGATAAACACAGGGCTGTGATGTATTCCCGGGTCATTGTGATGTATTCCCAGGTCGCTGTTGTATTGCTTTCCTTGGGAAAACAAAGCAAAACAAAGCAAAACATAAGAAAACAAAGACAGCCCAGGGAAGGAGGAGGCTGTGGAACAAAAAAGAACAATTATTCTTTAGAACTCTCTGCTGGTGCATCCCAAATCCTTCTCCATATTTCGGTGGCACTGGATGTTCTCATGAGCTCTCCAGTCCAAGCCAGGCTGGAGTGAGTTGCTGTGCTGAAGATACCTGTGAGGTCACATCCCAAGGCCTGGTTACCCTCACATCCTCCATCTGAGCTGATGATGTGCTGGAATGATGGATTAACCCCAGTTCCTCATTGTTTTTATTGCTTCTGAAATCTAATGATCAAATTTCCTGTCGTATCAGAGGATAAACAGCCTTGAGGTAAGAATGGAGGCTGTTCCTGGGATTCAGGGGAAACTCAAACACATAAGGCTGGATCTTTCGATTTGTGGCTAAGGATCTTCTGGAAACAGCTGGGAAAGGCTCCACTGGACATAACCACAACTGGAGAACGGGAACAGCAGCAAATCTGCAGGAGCAAGCTGGCAAGTGATGCACATCTGACCAAGTAGTCACTGCCTTCTACTTCAGGCTCTCACTCCTGACCCTTTGGGTGCAGGTTAAGCTGAATTTGCTTCTTGGCCACCTTTCTGCCTCATTCAGAGTGGAATCTGGCTTAGTCCTGTGTTCCCAGCCTCCTGCTGGCTTTGGAAGTGCGATCCAATGCCCCGTCCACGTCTCAGGTGGGATCTGAGCCCTCAGCTCGGTGTTGTTCACCAGTGACAGAGCATCCCATTCCTCCTGGAATTACCTCATGGCTCGGCTCTGGTGTGAGGGAGAGCTGCCAGCTGCAGGGTCTGAGGGGAGCAGCACACAGACAGACACACAGACTGCAAATTCCAGCAGTGGAAGTGCGAGGATCTCGGGAGGGGAGGAGTTTGGTGACAGCTTTTGCGTTAAGGGGGATGCAAATGGCAGGGAGGCCCTAAGTACCTCTGAGGGTCCCGGCTCGAATAGAAGGTAAATAAAGACTCAGCAGGGATGTTGTCATCTCCCTGCTAGGCTGCTTTAATAGACACATCCATCATTTCTTTAGAGAGCGCAATGATGGCTTCATTAAAAACTCTTCTGTGTAAATAAGTCATCGGGCCAGCCACTGCAGAATTCGGGTGGAAGGATGTTACGTCTTCTCCCTCAGATAGGTCTGGTTATCGGTACATGCTCTTTCACCCCCTTCTTTTTCTTTCAGTTTTGCCACAAAACGTATTTCCCCAATATCTTGGCGTGCAGCCTTAATGGGGAATGACTGCTCAGGTGTGTGACGCCAGGGCATCGAGTCTGGAGATGGGGACACTTTGGTCTGATGGTGGGTAATGGCCCGTGAACCCAGAACATTGAGATCACAGCTGGAGAGCCTGTCATGGCCACGGAGGCCTCCAGGCCCTGAAACTCTGATTCTTGAAACTCAGATCCCTGCATCCCGGCCCTCGCTGCAGGGAGCATTTCCTGCCGCTCTTCCTCGCTCAGATGAGTCATGGGAGCGTTGTGCTGCCGGAAAATTATCTCTGCAGGGCTGGAAAGGGATGGGGAGCTTTCAGCCCCTCGTGAGTCACAGACTCGAGAGGCTGCTGCTACCAGGTGGAAGGGACACAGGACAAACTTGGAGGAGCAGATGAGAAGTGTCTGATGCTCCACTTTTTGGGAGCAGCCTGTCCCTACACCCACCATCCTGCCGCCGTTTGATGACAGCTGAACGAGAGGGGAAAAGGGAACATTTCAACTGGTTGTCAGAGCCAGACTGGCACCTCTGCTTTCCTCCACCTGCCTCGTTTATTTTTGCTGTGATTTAATCCCCTTCCCGTCTCATTGCACCCACCAGGAGGGTGCCAGTCAACATTCAGGAGGAGCTGGGCTCTTCTCCATGGGCTCTTCCCCATGGGCTCTTGTGAGGCACCATAAATCAATGCATTTCACTGCATTGCCAGCCTGTTTTCCCCACAAGTCTGTCAACTGTGCTGGTTGCACATGGATGTAGGGGGTTTTTTTTGGATGCCCAGGCACACCTTGCTTTTTGGCCATAGGATTCCTTGTTTCCTCAGCAATGTCATGGATGCCAGCAGTTGCTGACACTCTTGTCCTTGTAGCACAGATCTGATTTGGGCCAGCAGCTGATGCTGAGACTTGTTTGGCTTCTTCTGGAAGTGGTAAAGGCCTAGAAATATCCATTCATCCTGCTTACCATCTCCTCCTGGAGGTAATTCTGCAGGGAAGCTCCTCTTGGGAATTCTGAATGCCTGCTTTACTCACAGGCAGCTCTTCAGGTGTACTTGGGGATGGGGGTTTAGGCAGAGTGTAAAGTAAAACCAAGCCCAGACCCAGAGTACTGGGAGTGAGCAATATTTAGACCATGGGACTCAGTCAGATTGGCATTTTTGGCTGCTCCTGAGCCCAGCAGACGAGATGCCAGAACTCCAGGGAGAGGAATGCGTTTGTTCCTGCTGGAAGTTGCAGTAAAATTAATGAGGTTTGCATGAGCTTTTATGATGAACCAGAGTCTGGCTCTGGAAGGAGTAAGGCAAGAGGACTTTGCTCAGAGATGGGAGAAGAAACTCTGCCTCCTGTGCCTTCATCTCCCAAGGGTTACATCAGCATCCCAAAGCCAGGATAGCAACTGAGACCAGTTGCAGTAAACCAGGGGGGGAGTGCAGGGCACAAGAAGCAGACTTTCCAAAACTGTGGAGGGGTTTCCCCCCGTGCTCTTGCTCCGTGCTGCCTTTCACAGGAGGCTCCATCAGCTGCTCACCCCACTCTGGCAGAGAGTATTTTCCCACTCATCTGCATGAAGAATCTTATCATACAGCACTTCAATGTCCAATTTCTCTGCAGTGGAAAACAGGCTCCATCTCAGCAGGTGTCTCAGTACTGTTTACAGGACACCTGTCAGCTCTTTTGGCTCCCTGTCCCCTCTGCCTCCTAATTATAAAATTGTGGATTGATGCAGCTATTTTTTTTTTCTTTCCTTTCTTTCTTTTTTTTTTTTTCCCTTCTGCACAAAATGTCAAATTGCAGAAATTAAAAATGTAAATGATGGAGTCTAATTAACCAGTTGACAGCGGAGCACAGCTGCAAATGACAGTGACTGATTACCTTCTGCAAACCTTGTCCTCCAAGACCTGCCTTACCCTGGGGAGGAAGGACATCAAAAATAGCAACTTCCTTAAAGAGACATCACTCAGCACTCTGAAGCCTGTTGGGCAGCGGTTCTGGGGGATCCAAATCCTGTGGATAAAGCCCCAAATCTCTTGAGCACAGGTGGAATGGTGTTGATTCTTAAGGGAAGCAGGTTTTCCCTAGTCACAGTGGGGATGTGAGGGTTGAAGGCTGTTGCCACAAACATCAGCTTAAAATTTGGGTCCAAATGGGGATGCTGAGGAGCAGAAGAGTGGCTGGGATAGACTGGATTGAGTGGTGGAGATGGGTGATATCAGCAGTGGGGTCAGATGTACTTGTGTGAATGGCACAAGCAAGAATCAAGGAGGTTTTTTTGGGAGGTTTTGTGTTGTTGTTTTTATGTTTTGTTTTGTCTTTTTTTTGTTTCTTTTTTGTTTATGGGAGTGAAATCCTGAGCCCTCAGTAGGACTTCAGCCCTCAGTGGGGCTTCTCTGTAGGACTAGAAGCAGGGCTCAAAGCCCTTCCAGGCCAGATGAAGGAATCCAGCATCAATAAGTTCCTCCTGCTGCTCTGATGGCACAGAGAACATCCCCAGGATGCTCTCTGGGGCTTCAATCTCACACTGGGGTGGAGTGAGTACAACACATGCCTGGTGCTCAGGATCAATGCTTCAATAATGTTTAATTTCCCTAACTCATCTCCGTTGCTGTAAAAGGTACGAGCAGGTATTTCACTGATGCACCAGCAGAGCCCAAACTGCGAAATGCCGGTTTTTTTTCGGATTTCATCTCTTGATGAGAGGAAATTCTCTCTCCCCTCAAGCAACCCCTGTATTTCTCTCTGCCAGGTACTACTCAGACATTGCCAAAATGCCAGCCATCAGCGACCAGGACATGAATGCCTACCTGGCTGAGCAGTCCCGCATGCACATGAACGAGTTCAACACCATGAGTGCGCTCTCCGAGATCTACTCCTACGTGGGCAAGTACAGCGAGGAGGTGAGAGCCTTGGAGAGCTTCTGAGGGACCATGGCACAGCCCATCCACGTGTCACAGATGCCTAGCTTCATCCTGGCTGGGGAGGAGGGTGGATTTACGGGGTGAGAAGCAAGGCTTGGGGCATGTAAAAGGGAAGGTCTGGGATTTTTGGTCTCCGCAGCAACTCTTCCATCTGGATCCCCGTTGTTTTTGTCTCCTGCTGTTGGTCAGGCAGGTTTAGGTGGCTTGCAGTAGGTGATGGTCTGCTTGGTGCAGAGGAGCCCTGCACGAGCTCTGCATCTCATGTGGCCAAAAGTTGTTTAGGAACATGTGGCCAGTGCCATTCCAGGTACCCTAAAACACCCAGGAATGGTCCAGCAGGCACAACACAGACTTTGAGGTGTCCTGCATGGCTCTATGTGTTGAAGGCCAGGTGAGACCCCTCAAGTGGCATGGCCAGGTGATGAATTCAGCTGTTAAATAACTGATCTCCAAGACAAGAATCTGTTTAACTGGTTCAAACCTAAAAGTCTGTATTTAGTGAGATCAAACCCAAACTGCCTGCCTACTTCCCTGCTGGCTGATTGACCTGCTGTACAAGATCTTAACCAAGCCTGGGACTTACCTTAGAGAAAGCTAATCCTGATCTGCTGCTATAAGATGCTGGACTCAGTTGTTTTTTGGGGAAAAAAAAAAATAAACCCTGTCACTTTTTCCTCTTTCCTTTTCCAGATTCTCGGAGCCCTCGATCAAGACGACCAGGCTGGGAAACAGAAACTTGCCTACAAACTTGAACAAGTCATAACCCTCATGAGCATAGACAGCTGAGAACTGTCCTGCCAGGGCCACCCTGGGAGGGATAAACCAAGTCGTGCCTCACTCAAGATCATCATCTTTACCAAGTGCAAGTTTTGATGGGCTGTAAGCAGAGTCACCCACACAGCTCCTCTCTCTCTCTCTCATTTTCTCTCTCTCCTTTCTCCCTCATTTCTTTCTCTTTCCACATCTATGGACAAAGTGACAGAGCCCCAGGGGTTAAAGGAAAAGACTGCAGAGGAATCTTGGCTCTGGGGCCACGAAGACAATTCAGGTGGAGCTCTCCTTTTCACAGCTTCCCCTCTGCCTTCACCCTAGAGAAAAACTATTGAACACGTGAAAAAAAACCAACCCCCCACAAACCCTCCCCAAGCATCTCATCATCAACTCTGCAGAGGCGAAACTGGGAGGTAACTTCTGTCATGCTGCTTTAACTGCCCTCCAAGGGCTCGTAGCCCCTGGAGTGGACATGGAAATGAACTCAGTATTACTCAAAGTCTCCCCGAGGGGAAGGCAGCTGCCTGCAGGGATCCTGGAGGGCAGAGCAAATCCGGCTCCTCTCCTGCAGAGCCATTGCAACTCCATCTCCTGAGAGTGACCCACCGGGAGAGGAACCCCAGGGCTCCCCGGAAAACGCCAGGGTGGCACCACTGTGGCTCTGACCTGCCTGGTTGTAGCTGCTCCCTTGGGGCAGGGAAAGGGTCAAGAGGGGAGGAGGAGGAGAAGAGCAACCCTCCCCTGCCCATGTGTTTCGTATGGTTATTCTTATTTTTCCAAGAGACACGTGTCCCCCTCCGTCTTTTCACCGTCGTGTCCTGTTGGTCGTAGCACTGCGGCAAAAACGCTCTCTCTGCTCCGTGGCCTCCTGTCAGTGGTGGTTCTGCTCCTTCTGGCAATGAATGGACAGCACAGCATCTCCCTTGTTCCCACCTCAGCTTGGAAAGCAAGAGCCACAGGTCTCGTTTTGTTCCAGTGTCAACAACAACAACAACAACAACAAAAAACCCTGACAAACCAACCAGAGGGATATTTTTTCTTTTTTTTTCTGTAAATTCTTTCCGTTTTGTTTCCTCAGCTGGAACAAAGGTGTTGTTTTCTCATGGTGGAATATCAGCAGGGCACTGAAGGACTTGCCAGGAACCAAGGTGGTGCACAGGACTGATGGTAAAACCTTCCTTCCGAGCCCCTCCTAAGAGGAAATGTCAGCACACGTTTGGGAAGGAAATCTTGGAGGAAATCCAAAGGAAGCAGTGCAAAAAATTCTTCTACCTGGATACCCTCAGCTGAACTGCAGGTCTTCTGGAGGTCTCTGTTAAGCCTATCTGCCTTTTGGTGCCAACTCCTGGCCTTTCCTCCTGTCCATCTCTGCAACCAACAGGCCTTGCTGAAGGATTTTATCTCTCTTTGCACTTCTAACCCCTTCAGAGATCACTGTCACCACGGGACTGTTGTAGGTGATCACCCTGTCCCATCCTCTGCTCAGCTCCTCCAGAACAACATCTCAACCTGTTTCATGGCCAACCAAAGAGGAGTGAACTCCTTCATCTCTCCTGCCTTTGGCTGTTGTGTTCACAGAGCCTGGATAACACCATGGGCAGAGACCCTCGGGGTGTGGAGAACCTTGGACACGTGGAGGCAAGAGCTGGGCCTGCATTCACCTCCCAGAAACCAGCAGAGCTCCCTCACAGATGGAGGAGTGGCTGGAGAATCAGCCCACAGCCACCTCATCATCCTCAGAGCTACAGCCTGCATCTGCTTTGCACCTGGAGGGAGGAAGGGGTAAAGACAGGGTGTGTAAATTGACTGGAGAACGAGTGTATTTGGGTTTATTGATGCCTTTAGCTGTCCAACCAGAACCTCCTCAGAGTGACAGACCATGAGTGCATGGAAAAGCGGGGGGGGGTGTGGTGCAAACAGGGCTCAGTCAGTGAGCAGGTTTCCCTCAGCCAAGCAGATCCCAAGTGATCCCCAAAACCCATTTCCGACAGCAGTCCCAAACTGGATGTGTCTGTGGCGAGAACACCACAAAATTCACATTGAAACAGCAAACTTATGGACACATCTTGGTTTTAAAACCCCAGACATTTCTCTCTTGATTCTGATTATTCTTATTTTGTGTGTGTGTGTGTGTGTGTGTGTGTGTGTATCCGTGTGTGCGTGGGTGTGTTCCTCCCCTTTTCATTTTGCTTGCTTTCTGTTGGATTGCTGAGCTGATGGACTCATCATGCACCTTATGGACATCTCAGCATCTTTAAGAGGCCTGTGCACAGGGGATGGTTTGGGTTTGCTTGGTTCTGCCATGGTTTTGTTGCTCCATTTGGTGACGTCGGCGCATGTTCCAGATCCATTGATTATGGCTGTGAAAGTGGGCTTGGAATTCCCACCAGAGCCAGTGGTAAGGAAGTGACAACAACAACAACAACGACACAAACACGATATTTTTTATAACTACCTTAAAAAAAAAAAAAGGAAAAAAAAAAAGGAAAAAAAAGGGGAAAAATTTAAAATTTAAAAAAAAAAAAAGGAGAAGAAACCAAAGGTTTTGACAAACAAAGTGCCACAAAAAGATAAATATGGACCCTATTGTCATGCCTTGTTCTCACAGCTGGATGGTAGGAGTCTAAGGACAAGTAGCTGGCTTGGAGGGAAGTGGTGATGAGTGATGGGCAATCCTGCCTGGACATGTGCACATGGAAGGAAGAAGAAGCTGTTTAACATAAAAAAAAAAAAAAAAAAAAGAAAGTATCAAAATGAACTGGTGTGATCCTCCTGGAGTCAGAGGAACACCACAGGGGAAATCTGAGACTCACCCTGGTTCTTTCCGTGGTTTTCAGGGCTGTGGGTTTGGTTTACTATGGTTGTTTCGTTTGCCACTGTTGTTATTTTGTTTCTTCTTGCTGGTACGGAGTTTTTCATCTGTATATTATATATATATTTTTCGAGGAAAAACTTGAACACCTCAGAGACACTGAGAATGAAACACTTAGAGGGAATGGGAGGCACCATGAGATTGGTGCCTTAACCCTTCCCGAGTTCCCATTTAGGCATTTCTGCTTTCTCTCCACCCTCTTCTTTCCCCCAATGCCCAGGAGCTGAAAGAAAATCTGCATTTTGCTTCTCTTTCACCTCCTCCTTATTATTTTTTCCTTCTTTCTGTTCCTCTTTATTTGGTGTTTGAGCTGGTTTTGGCTTTTTGCTTGGAAAATGTGCCAGAATTGTGATGTAAATGCGTGGGCTTCCTCCCCTGTCCCCCTCAGTGCCCTTCCCATTTCCAACCACTGTCCCAGCATCCCCCCAGTCTATGAGAGGTCTTGGCATCTTTCTTCCCAGCCTCACCTGTTGAGCTTAACTATTTTTTAAGTGCATGTAAAAATACAACTAGAAACAAAGACACAAGCAGAAGAATGAGCCCTACTACAACACGGATGAGTTCTTTTCCTTTGATTTCTTTTCCCCCACCTCCCTTTCCACACTTGACCAAAAATTCCCAATAAATCGGTGTTTATTCCACCCTGTTTCTCAAGCCACGTGGAGAGAACTGGTGCCAAAATTCCTAGAAGTCAATTGGCAGGCTCTTAATATCCAGAGCAGGCTGCTCTTTATGGGTGTTTCTCAAATACTGCAGTCACATAATTAATGCTGACACTTTTCAGCACCATCAGAAATGGGGAAAGGGAATTTGTGGAGATTCTCTGAGGCCTTACTGAGAGAGCCAAGATTATTTTTTCACTGCAGGGTTTGCTCTGGGGCTTTGTGCCTGGTTTAGAGGAAGAAAAGGTGAACAGTCACTCTGCAGTCGCATCGTGTCCTCCCTGTGAGGGTGGTCACCTGTCAGTGAGATAAAATCCATCATGCCATGTGCTTTTGCAGACTGAGCCTTCCAAGAAAGAGTGTGGGAAAAGTTGGGTGTGTCTGGAAGGAGGTGTTAGAGATTGTTTGCTCTTGAACAGACAGCACAGGAGAACGATGGAGAAGGGGAAATGCAGCCACCCAAGGTCACCTTCCTCTCCCAACACAGAATTGTAGAATAATTTAGGTTGGAAGAGACCTCCAAGATCACAGAGTCCAACTGTTCCTCAGTCCTTCTCTTCCCACTTTTCATTCCCTCCTGGACACTTCTGAAGGTTCAGTCCAACCCAGCATAGACCAACCTTGCTCCAGGAGGTAAGAGGGCTTAGTTTTCCCACTGCAGTTGTCTTATCTCACTTTTTTGACACTGAAGACCACAAAAATCATTAAGTCAAGAAGATTTACCAGCACAGTTTTGTTTGGTATTTGCTTTGGTTGAAAAGCGATTACCAGAGTTTCCAGGTCTCATGCATTAACCCCCAGAAACTGTTTACCAGGAAGGGGAAGAGACCAAGTAAATCATGTAATTGTCACTATTTTTAATAATGCTGTTGATAACTGATAGGGGAAATCTGAAGAGTGCAGTGGCCAGTCTCAGTGTTGAGTCAGCCAACATAAGTATTACAAGTTCCTTGAAGTCTGGGATGCACCTGAGGTAATAACCTGAGCACAAACCAGCTGATACCAAGAGGAAAGTTGTTCAGAAGTAAGTCAAAACATGAAATGTAGGTCTGTCCTTCCCCAGGGCTTTAGTGAAGAGCTTTTCTCAGTGGGACATACACTTGTGTTTGAACAAGGGACACTTAAAATCATGGAATCAGTCGAATGGTTTGGGTTGGAAGGGGCCTTAGAGCTCATCTTGTTCCACCCCCCTGCCATGGGCTGGGACACCTTCCACTAGACCAGACTTCTCAAAGTGCTTTCCAACCAGGCCTTGAACACTCCCAGGAATGGAAGTCCTCAAGTCCAAGGACAATCTCAGACCAAAAAGAAAAGTCTGGCCTGATGGAGGTGACCAGGACTATTCTCTCATATCACCAGGGCTCCAGTAAAACAAGTCTTGCTTCACCCTTCCCAGCAGCCTGCAGAAGAATTACTTGTGAAGCAGAGTCAGCTGATAGTGTGGACACATTTCTGGATGCTGTAGAAGGAATTGTGAGAGGAGGGAAACTGATCCTCCTTCCCAAATTCCTGAGGTAGCTCTAGTGTGTGAGAGGTTTGCTCCTCCATAGGAATCTGTTGTTTTCTGTGGTGACCATTGCTGATGGGGCCAGAGGAGCATTTCACTGGAACCCCACCAGTCCCACCAAGGTGGGTTTAGTCCCTTTTTCCTCTCTGCTTCAGCACTGAGCTACAGAGCCCAGACAGAGAGCACTGCATGGACATGTGCACTGTGGTTTGACCAGTTCATGCTGCTTTTGGGTGGCTCACCAAAAATTGCATCCAGGAGCCCAGTTTCCTTATCCCTCACTCTTGAATGAGGATAAGGACATAAAAATCCAACTCTCAAATCAGTGTTGTTTAAACCTCTGAGATTCTGAGAACCCCCTCTCCTGGGATGAGCAGGGGAGCCCAGGAATGGATCTCTTTCCCCAGACCAGGGAGTTATGATCATTTATGATCAGAGTAGATGGTGTTCTTGTGTTGGTAGATGCATCATCAGGGCAGCTGTTGGGTAAAGAAGTGTTGGCATAGAATCATGGAATGGTTTGGGTTGGAAGGGACCTTAAAGACCATCTAATTCCAACCCTCTGCCATGGGCAGGGACACCTTCCACTATCCCAGGTTGCTCCAAACTCCATCCAACCTGGCCTTGAACACTTCCAGGATGGAGCATCCACAACTTCTCCAGGCAACCTAAAACCGCCCACAGAGCCTTAGTGATGCCAGGACAATTTACTCTGTGCATCTGATGAGTAGTAAATTGTCCTCCAGGGCAGGGGGAGGTTTTGGGATGTCCTAACTCTTCCCATCCAGTCTTGGTTTGATGAAACACGTGAACCTTGACCTTCTGGTCATTCCCAGCCTGGATTTCCCTGCTTTGCAGCTCCCATTTAAAAGTACTGTTTGATCCACAGACTCATGCAGTTTTCCCTCACCTCTGCCACTGTGCAATGACCCTTTCTCCAGAAAAAAATAAAATTGTGTTGTCTTACAGGGAATAACTGTTTTGAGGAGAATGCTTTGGAAGTGGAGCTTGTCACCTGTGTTTATTTGGGATGGCTCAGTTCACTCTTAGAGAAGCACCCAAGGGGACACAAACTTACAGCAACAAAATTAATTTGTAGAAAGATGTCAAAAGTAAAAAAAAAAAAACAAAAAATAATAAGGAAGGATTTACAGTTGGAAAAATAACCCCACCAAAAACCCATTGAAGTTTTAAAGCTGCTTAGTCTGATCAACCTGTCACGTGTGTGATTTATGTTGTCGTCGTCGTTTGTTCATTGTTTGGCTGGTTTTTTTGGGGTGGTTTTGTTGTGGTTTTTTTGTTTGTTTGTTTTGTTGTTTGGTTTTTTTTTAATCTGTTCTAAAAATGGAGAGTTTACCTCAAGAAATTCTTTCTGCTTGGAAACAGCTCACCTCAGAGACGCTCGCAGCGGAGAGGGAAGCTCAGGAGAGCAAAGCTGGGTGTGGCAAACAGAGGGGAAAGGTGGACATTTAGGCTCTTGAAGCGTTCCCTTCTCTTGCTGGCATGGTCTGGCATTTCCCAGAGTGGGAATTTCCCAGTGGAGAGGCCGCTGTTCACTGTGGGATAGACTGAGGCACGGGAGCCAGGTGGAGAAATCAAGGCACGTGTCTGAGCTTGGAGTCCTTTCGGAAGCATCTCAAGAGAAACTCGGTGTTATTTCAAATTTCTATGCTGCTCTTTCTCCGCTCCCTGGAGAAATTCCACTTGCCAGCCCAGAGTGGGGTAAGGAAGCAGAGAGGTTAGGTGCTAGCTAAATGCTCCCAGTGTTTTTTTCCCCCCTGGATTTGAGAGGCAACTGGATTATTTAAAGTCACAAGACAGGCCCTTCCTTGTGTCTGACCCTGTGTCTTGGACATAATGTGAGCCCAGAAGTCTCATTCTCTGTTTTGCTAAAGCTTCCTCCTTAAATCCCAAATCAATGGAAAGACATATCCTTTCACTTCAGTGTTACTAACAGCCTCAAAGAGATGTCAAGACAGCATTAGAAAGGAGGTTGGGATCCTTTTTCTTAGGTTGTTGTTGTTGTTGGTTTGATTTTCTTTTGAATTGATCCTAGTTAAAAAAAAAAAAGTGAAAATTAAATAAAATCTATACTATTTAAATTGGAATCCCGTTGTTACTTGGTAAAGGCAAAGCTTCTGTACCTTTGTTATAATTAATTGTATACCTGTGTATGTAAATATAAGGCATTCCTATTTTGCAGTCCAGAACAAAAAAAAAAAAAAAAAAAGAAAAAAACACACCACAAACTATTTGTAATATAGAATAAAGTTTATTAAAAAAAAATAAAGAAATAAAAATGCCCCGGGCTGTGATTGCTGCTTCCTGTGGCCAAATGGAGCCAGAAGGAGGGAATACAAGGGAAAAGGAAGCATCAGACTGCATAGATCCCAGTTATTTACACAAAGGTGTGGGGATCAACATGCTCATGTCAACAAGGGCTGCAAAAAATTCCATCCTTCCTTTTTTCCCCTTTATGTTATTTCATCTTTTTTGATTGCCAGCCCCACTTTTCCATGTCCCTCTCACATGTCCCAGGGAGTGTCCCCTGCTTTCCTTCTTTCCTTTCTTCTTTCCTTCCTTTTTTCTTTCCTTTTTTCCTTTCCTTTTTTCCTCCCTCCTTCTTTCCTTCCTTCCTTCTTTGCTTCTTTCCTTCCTTCTTTCTTGTTTTCCTTCTTAATTCCCCCTTCCCTTCCCTTCCCTTCCCTTCCCTTCCCTTCCCTTCCCTTCCCTTCCCTTCCCTTCCCTTCCCTTCCCTTCCCTTCCCTTCCCTTCCCTTCCCTTCCCAAACCTTCCCAAACCTTCCCAAACCTTCCCAAACCTTCCCTTCCCAAACCTTCCCAAACCTTCCCAAACCTTCCCTTCCCTTCCCAAACCTCCCCTTCCCAAACCTTCCCAAACCTTCCCAAACCTTCCCAAATCTTCCCTTCCCAAACCTTCCCTTTCCCAAACCTTCCCACCCCACAGGAAAAGACATATTGGATTGTTCAAATTTCTTTTTGGAGAGGTGGGATCCACTCGGGTTATTCCTTTCCATCAGCCTTTGGGCTGCCATCAGCTGTGCATTTTGAAAGTGATGGACAAGCTCATGAATCCAGGGATGTTGTTAAAGGAACCACATCCTGTGGATCGTGAAAGGAAAGTCCTCAGTGGGAGCCAGGCTGTGCCTCGGCTGTTCCATTAGAGCAGCAATCATCACACCAGGCTTTGGAGGAGTCAAAGGCAATTTGAGGTGGAGAAGCAAAACCCCCCTCCAAACCACTTACGATTATTATCTACCATGATCCTGCCTTTGGAATGGCTGTTGCCAGGAGTAAATCTTTAACGGAGCTCGGATTGATGAGGAGCTTGGCCGAGCTCGGGCGGGGTTTGCAGTGCCCTGACACGGGTTTAATGTATCAACCTGCTGGTGTCCCCTCAGGGGGCAGGAAACGTGCCCTGAGCCACCTCAGCTCGAGGCAAACTGCAGATTAAAAGCTCACAGGTGACTTTTACTGGCCCCGCTCTGGAACAGCCAAATTCACACATGCGGAGCCAGGTCCCTTTGGAGCTGGGAAGGGGACATGGGACTGCTGAAAATGTCATCTTTCGTGAGTGCCCAGTCTCACAGCAAAGAGGCAAGCACAGACTCACAGCTCGTGCTGCACAAGCCTCCCTCTCCCCACAAAGCAGGGACAAAGCTCTTCCCCTCAGTGCCATCCCAAGAGTTGGGAATGTGGCATCGGCATCCCGACCAACCTTCTCTGCATCCTCCCCTGGCATTTCCCAGCATTTCCTTTCTCCCAGTCGGGCTGTGCCCTCCGTTTCACCCAGCAGAGAGGAAAACAGAGCTGAGGTTTCCATGCCCAGAGCTGGTGCAACTCCTGCCCTGCTCCAAAGGGCTCCGGCACCCCAAAGAATGAATGTGTGCATTTTATGGGATGTGCAAACCTATATAAGGCTTGTGGAAAGCAAACACCTTTCTGCAAGTCTGAGAGCATGGAGAGGAAGCAAGAAAGTGGATTTCAAACAGGGAAAGGAGTCAAATGAAACACTGACAGTTTTGGCTTCAGCCTAATACCACTTATGAAGTGTCTGGGTGCCTGTAGGTGAGCAGCATATGTACAGTGATAGACTGACCCCATCCAGCCATGGAAATGAGTCATCTCTGTCTGTCTGATCCATGGGACACAGCAGAGGAAAAGTCCTTGTCACCCAAAAGGACTCCTATCACTCTAACAGCACATTCTATCTGCAGCTCAGTCAGTCACAGCAGTGTTTTACCTGTACAGGTATCACCCATCAGACCCCTCCGGTCAGCAGAGTGAGTTACAGGAACAGATGGCAGAAGATTTTGTGTGCCAAGAAGTGCTTCAGTATTTCCAGCTCTTCTGAATTATTAGTGTATTTAGGGTAAAAATCAAAAACACCTCTAAAGAAAAGTTATGAAGCCTTTTGGGTTTGTTGGTTTTTGTTGTTTTTTTTTTTTTGGCGGGGTGGTCTTTTTTAAACCTAAATTAAATATCTCGCTAAAAACTTCCTTCCAGGCAAAGTGGTTCTACTTAACATTTGCACAGGAGCAATTTTAGGCTGTGTCTCTGCCAGACATTCCATAAACAGAGAGAGTGTCCCTGTGGAAATAACATCTTCCATGTCTGTGGGACCAGACAGGAAAAGGAAGAGGTGGGGAGGAAACTGAGGCACGAAGAGGTGAAAGGAGCTGCCTGCAATTACACAGCAGCTCAGAGCCAAGGCTCAGGTCTCTGCAGCCCAGGATCAATCCCAAACAGCCCAGTCACTAATTTTCCAATGGGATACACCAGTATATTGCCTGACTGGGAGAATCCATAGGGCAGGGAAGCTGCACTGTGCTAAACCTTGTATGTGATAAATACTGGGCCAGAGTTTTCCTCTTGTCTTCTGTGCCAAGACTGGGAAACAACACAACACCAACTATTCCCACAAAAACACCCTTCCAAGCACTAAATGATTTTGCACTAAATGGAGCTGCAATGACTTAGCACAGCCAAACAGACTCCAGGCTGTGGTAACTCCCTGTTCTCAGCTGTGAGCTCAAAGTGTTTGCCTTCAGGGGGGTCCAATGTGTGGCCCTGCTACTGCTTGGTGGAGAATTTCCCTGTTGATTTAAAGAAAGATGCAGGAATAGGAGTGAGGAGGAAAACCTCTGACATGGATGTGCTTGCAGCAGGACAGGGCATCAGTTTGATGCTCACTGGGACACTCTGGAGAGCCTGGGAGACCTTGGATTGGGTCCTGTTGGCTGTGGTCACACGTGCATGACAGAGGCAGCACAACTGTGCTGGAGGCACCAACCACTACTCACATTTTCAGCCTCTGAAATGCCTCTGTTCAGCTCCCAAATGGATCAAGCTGGATATTCAAGGCTAACAAGTTATTCACAAAGCAGGCAGGAGCAACCTTCCCATTATTAAGGTTGGAAAAACCCTCTGAGATCATCCAGTTCAACCTTTTACCCAGGTACCAAGTCCACCACTAAACTATGTCCCCAAGTGCCACATTTTTTCAGCAAGATCCCTGGTGTTTCTCTGTCCATGCTGGATTCTCCCACCCTCAAGCTACGGAAAAGAGGGATTTTCAAAGCTTTCCTGCTTTCACTGTCCACAGGAAGTGATGGCCCCTCCCTGCACCTCAGTCCTTCCCTCCTTCCAGCTCCTCCACTGAGGAAATGGTGATCATTCGCCTCAGGCCTGTGACATTGCCAGTGTAAATCATATCCCTCAAGTGCCCCACGAAAACCTGGCAGAGGGGAGGGCAGGGCAGAGCTCAGAGATGGCTTTTATCTCTCAGGGAAAAGCTGGGAACTCTTCTGCAGCTCAGCTTCCCAAAACGATCCCAGATGTCAGCTGAGAAGGACTACTTCCAGCAACCTGGAGAGGGTTCAATTTGCCTTTATTATTCCCAGTTTCCCACTTTCTGACACTTCACAGGTTCAGCTGCCTGCATCCTATTAAGCTGTTCCCCTCACCAGTCCCCATCCTGGAGGTTTTCCTGGTTCAGCACAGTGTAATTCCAGCATCAGCTCTCTCCAGTGCCCTCTGGATATCACTTGTACAAGGAAATTGGTCTGAAGACGGGGTCTGTGGCCATCCCCAAGGATGAGGTTCTCAGGGGTCATCCAGGGTATGCTCATCCTCTCTGTTGGAAGCGTTGATGCTGCAGCAGAACCACTCTCGTGGGTTTACCAACTGGCATCTGCCAAAGCTGAAAATAGTTTTTTCCAGGTGGATTTCCAGAGCAAAGCCAATCAAAAGTTTTAGTAAGAAAAGAACATTGCCAGAACAAGAATTACTGCAGAAGGAATCGCAGGCTGAGAGAGAGATGGCACAGCATCCAAGGTCAAAGCTGGCAGCTGCAGGAGAGAGGAGCCTGAAAGGGGGGGCTCCTTTCCCCCCATCCCCCCATCTCTCTCTCTCCCTTCAGCAGACTAAAAACTAAAAACCCCTGCCACCTGTGGAAGATTATTGAGTGAGGACACCCTCTGCAGCTCATGAAGGAGCCCACGCTGGAGCAGAGGAGTGAATGAAGAAGCTGTGACTCCATGGGAGGCCTAAGATGAAACAGAGTCCTGCTGGAGACCTGTGGCCCATGGAGAAAGAGACCTACGCTGGAGCAAGTCGGCCCGCATAGGATTTGTGTGATCCCAGTGAGGGATCCATGCTGGTGCACCTGAATTGGTGACCCTAAGGGACAGCAGAGAATGGAAAAACTGTTGCCCCAAGGTAGACTCACGCTAGAGAGGTCCATCAAGGACTGTCTCTCATCAGGAGGGACCCCACAAGAGAAAGGGGTAGACTCAAAAGCCATTATCCCCTGCAACTGTGGGATGACCACGGTAGGCAAGTGTCCCCTTGCAATCCATGGAAGACCCCACAGGGCCTGGGTAACCACCAGCCTCCAGTCTTAGCCCAGGAGGGGGTAAGCCCAGCCCTGAGGTCAACACAGAAGAGAGAGAGAGAGAGAGAAACACAGTTCCAGCTGCAACAAATTTAATATTCTCATGGGGTGTCAAAGGAAGCGCTTGCAGAGAAGGGATCTTCCCTGCACGCTCAGGTGGTCCCAGCAGATGAAGCTTCCTGGGTCACTTCTCCACAGAGCTCCAGCAGCACAGCCAGAGACTGCCCCACAGGCAAGGCTGGCACTTGCACAGCCTGCAGAGCCAGTCTCAGAGCTGCCACAATCTGGAGGATGGAGCTCTCTGTAGGCCTCTGATGATCTCTGATGTCTGAACTGCCAGGCTGGAGATGGCAGGGCTCTCATCTGTCATGCTCTCCAGGGCTGGAACAGAAAGGTACGAAAGCAAGATCAGAGGCAGCATCTGCAGGGACCCGAGGAGCCCCTCCTGCCAGGGCCATCCCACATGGCAGCTCTTGCCATGGCTGGCAGGGAGAAAGGCCCAACAGGAGGAGCTGGAAGGTGCTGGTCCCCAGTACCCCCAGCCACAGAAACCCACTCCAGCCTGAAATGTCTCTCTGCTCTGCCCAAAAGCTCCCCGTCCGTGCTGGGAGCACAGCCCTGCACAGCCAGGGCAGGGATTGCAGCTCCCTGCCCAGGGCTGACAGCCCGCTGCCCTCACTCACTCACTCACTCAGTCACTGACCCTGGATGACGAGCAGCAGCTCTTTGTGCTGTCCCCTCAGGTACCTGCCGGCGATCCCTGGGCACACACACAGAGCCTGTCAGGGCACAGCTGCCCCCAGCGACACTGCCAGCAGGGCTGAGCCCGGGCCCTTCCCGCATGGTGCCGCCCCAGGGCTGGGCTGGGACAGGGCGGCAGCACCGCCAGGGCACTCGGGGCTCCACAGCACATCCCTGGGCTGCATCTGCTGCTGCTGCTGCTGCTGCAGCGGGGCTGGAGGGACAGCGGGGCGGGAGGGACCGCGGGCTTGGGGCTCACCCATGAAGCCGAGGGCCGCCTCTCGCACGGGCTCCTGTGGGCTCTGCAGGTACGGCAGGGCCTGGCGCAGGTACTTGGCCGCTCTCCTCTTGTCCTTCTGCAGCTGCAGGAACGGCAGGGCAAGCACAGAAGGCTTGGCTCAGGCTCTGCCCCTTGGCCGGGAGCTGCCTGCACCCAGCACTGCCCTGCCTTGCCCGCACAGCCCGGAGACCTGGGCAGCAGCCGCTGGGGCCGGGTTTGGAGGGCACAGAGGGCCACCCTGCCCCACAGTACAGCTGGGCAGGGGCTCCAGGTGTAGAGGATCCTGGAGGGCAATGAGGCCCGCACGGCCAAGGGAAGGCAGCAGCGTGTGGGGCGCAGGCTGGTGTCCCACAGGGCAGGGCAGCAGTGGGCAGGGGCACAGGGCCAACCCCACTCCCTGGGCATCGGGGTCTGGGCACTTGTCCAGCCTGGGGCCGGGGCTTTCACATCGTCCTTACCAAGCACTTGCCAAATGTGCACAGGGTCTCTGTCATCACCAGGTTCTCCAGATCGCTCCACTTCAGGAACCTGGCCGCACAAAGCAGTGCTTCCCAAGAGACCTGCCGAGAAGTGGAGAGCGGGAGATGGGACTGCAGCCCAGGGCACAGGACCTGCGTCCCTGGACCAAGGCCAGGAGGAGGCCGGAGCCCCTGAGATGCCCAGGGCAGGAGGCAGCCTGGTCCCTCCCTGGGGGACAGCAGAAGCCAGGAGTCCTGACCTTTGCCATGTGCTGGTTGTCATGGTGGCAGTGCAAGAAGAGTGGGAGCAGGCTCTGCACCACGTGGCGCTTCAGGGACTTTCTTGCCTTCTGGACTGCCAACTCCATCACCTTATGGAAGATGTGAATGGAGAGCAGCTGCACTTGGCTGTTGTCCTGAGAGAAAGGAGAGGAAAAGTCCTCAGCACTGGCTGCTGCAGGCCTGCCTGGGCATAGGTCGAAAAATGCACAGGCCACGGTTTCCAGGCAGCACCCAGTGCCTGTTCCTGTCAGGGGCAAGGGGCCTTACGTTGCTGAAGAGCGGCTGGAGCGCCTCAGCCAGCTTCAGGGCAGTGGGTCTGGAGAGCTGGATGTCTGGCTCCCGCAAGTGATCCGAGAGCACAGCCAGGGTCATTGCCGCCAGCTCTCCGTCTGCATCCCCCAGGAGCTGCACCAGGCTTGGTGTGAGGCTCAGCGTGCTGTCAGCCTGTGTGGAACACAGTGCTCGTGCTGTTGAAGCCATCGAGGGCAGCAGCGCCAAGCCCGCTCCGGCGGTGCAGCCCCACGCTGCTGCCGCGGGGCCCAGAGGCCAAAGGCCTGTCCTGAAGGACTCGGGTGGCTGAAGGGGGAGGCAGGAGAGCTGGGAGCAGCTGCCACAGCTGCCTTGCCCAGCCAAACCCAAGTGAGTGCCTTGCCCAGCCCCAGGTTGCTGGCAGGGCTTCAGCCGGCTATCCCCTTCTCACCGTTGATGGATCCTTTCTGAGCACCAGGATCATCCTGAGTGCCAGGCGGTGCCTCTCTGGGCACTTGCTCTGCAGGGGCCTGGAAAGGATGTGCAGGACTGTGTCGCCACATTCCCTCATGTCCAAGCAGTCCAGGACCTGAAAGGCACGGAGCAGTGACAGGGTGCCTGGCTGGCAAGAGCCCAGACGTGCACAGGGCTGGCCCCAGACAGCAGCCCAGCGCACAGGAACCGTCCCGGGCAGCTGTGGCCGTGAGAGGGCAGAGAGCTGGAGGCAGCCGGGCGAGGCAGCACCGGCCATCAGGCTCACCTCCACAAGGAAGGCCATGGCAGGGAACTCCCAGCGCAGTGCCAACACTGCTGCTTGGCTGAGCAGCTGGAGGAGGTAGCAGCCCATGTGGCGACACAAGGGGCTGGAGACACGGCGCATCTCCCTGTCGGGGGAAAGAGGCACCAGAGAGCCTGAGCTGGGTGGGCAAAGCTCTCCTTTGAAAGACTCCCAGTGGCCTGGTCTTTCCCCAGCAGACTGGGAGGGGATGTGAGCATTTGGGGAGGCGGCTCCTCCTGTGCACCCTCCTCTCCCTGCTTTTTGCACTCCTTTCGGCCACCCCTCGACAACAAGGCCTTCTGGCCCACGCCCACGGGCACTGTGCAGGGTGCCCCGTTCCCAGGGCAGAAGGGACAGGGGCAGCGGGGACAAGGAGGTCTCACCTGGCCAGCAGACCCACGGCATAGTGGTGGGTGTCCATGTGGAAGAGCGTGTCCCAGGCAGCCTTGCGATCCATCGCCATCACCACGTCCTCACACTCCAGATGGAAGAGCAAGGCCTTGATTACGTGCACTGCAAACCTGTGTGCAGAGCAAAGCCCAAGTGACTCTGGGAGGCCTGGCTCCACCCCAAGGACGTGGCAGGGATAAGGGGACTGGGATGGAGCACCTCTTGGGGTTCCTGGCAAGTCCCTGTTCCTGCCAGCATTGCCTCCAGAAGGTGTCGATCTTCTCTGGCATGGGCTCTGTGCTGATGAAAATGTTGAAGAGCAGAGCCACCAGGAGGCGGGGGGAGTTCTCCTTCAATGGTTCTGGACACTGGAGCCTCTGGAGAATCTCCCAAACCACTCTGATTGCCTACAAAAAGACAAAGGAACCAGAGAGAGCTCTCAGTGCCCAGATGTGCATGTGGCAGGGCCCGAGCAAGGGAGAGAAAAGGCCATCTGTCAGAAGGCAGAAGCTGGTGCTCCTTCCTGGAATGATCTTTTCATGGAAGTGATAACCTGCAGCACAAAACCTCCCTCAGCTGCTTAGTTTCAGAGGACAATTAAATTGGTCAGAGATAGTGTCAAGGTTCCTTGTGTTCTTTTGACTTTTTTCCTTGCCTTCTGAAAAAGAATGGAACAGCCCAGTCTAATGGGTCTGCTGGCTGCTGTGCCATGCCTTGGGGAAGTGAAGAGGATAGGGAGAACTCTGACATGACAACCTGTTCTGTGTCTCTCCCCACTGGATGCCCCTCCCTTCCCCCATCCCTTTGTGGCAGCAGCAGAAACACCAGGAGAGCCCAGAAGTAGGAGTCAGAGTTTTACTGAGAAAAGCAAAAAAAAGCCTCGTAATAGAACACAAAAATACAGAGGAAATGGTTGACCCACCAAGAGGGGAATCCACCACAAACCAAAGAGGAACTGCTCTCTGTTGAGAACATCTACCTTGGCTTCCCCATGTGGCCCAGGAGAACCAAGTCAAGTGGCAAACCCTCCCCAACCAGCTAAAAACTAGAGAAAGAGGGACAATGCAAAACCTGGCAAACTCTTTAATCCAGAGGGAGTTTTGCTGCTGAGAGGCTGGTTCCAGGTCCTGGCTTTAGCGGCTGGCACTGGTTTTGGATTTGGGGTGGCTCCAACAATGGCTGGGATTTATGGAGCAGCTCCAGCTTGTGGTGATGGTTGGCAGTGGTTCCCTCTCCTGGGAGTCAGGGAAAAGAGTGGTCCCCTTCTGCTTCTGCCTGTGGTTTTTAAAAGGGGCCAGTCCACCCCCTTCTTCAACCCAGGCAGGAAGAAAAACCTTCTGTTTCCAGTGCCTTTCATTTCCCTGACAAACAAAATTCCCCCCAGTGTTGATGTGGGTTGTGTGGAATAAACATCGCTACAAACTCCGCCCCTACTGTACCTAGGACATTATCTGCCCCTTATTCGATACCATCCACATCCTGCCCACATTTCATACCTGATTGGTGCAACTGGAGCAGTCCATACTCATTGTGCGTGGTATTTCCCCTTGACAGTGGCAGTTTCATTCAGCAACCAGTACTAGACATGCAATCCACCCTTACAGATGGTTCTCACCCAAAATCAAATGCCCCTGAGGCACACATCGTGTTTCCCCACCCCTCTGCATTACCCACCAAGGGCACCAAGGTCCTTGAGCAAAAACAATCCCCTGTGTGGGTCTGCCTTTGCCTGAGGCAGGACTGATCCAAACTGTCTTTCCTAACACGTTTCTCATAAGCACCACGGGGACTTTTGGTACGTAAGGGTTCTGATTAGGCAGGGCCAGCTCGACTGGTAGAGCCTCAGGTGTTAACTTAATCAGTTGGTCTTCTTTAAATGTAGGTTCCAATGTTTGAAGGTCCCACCACCCTTTGCTTTCGATGTGGTTTTTAACAGTCCATTATACCATTCAACTTTCCAGAGCCTGTTGCATGGTAGGGAATATGATACAGCCACTCAGTTCTGTGCTCTCTGGCCCAGGTGGCTAGGGAGGCTGTTTGTGGAATGAGTCTCCTTGTCTGCCTGAGTCCTTCCTGGACTGCAGTGTCTCCACAGGTGCACGATGGTGTTTCAGGTGTGAGGCACTGGCTGTGTCTGCAGCCATCTGGTTATTGTGTCCACCATTATCAGCATTTAGTGCTTCCCTTGGCGGGTTTGTGGGGGGGTGATGTGATTGATCTGCCTGGCCTTCCCAGATTTATGTTTTGGCCATTGTCCCCCACAGCAAAGGGGCTTTACCCACTTGGCCCTGCTTGATCTCAGCACGTGTTTCACAGTGATGGATAACCTGGGAGATGGTGTCCATGGTTAAATCCACCCCTCGATCATGAGTCCGTTTGTGTGCTGCATCTCTTCCCTGACAACCTGAAGAGTCATGGGCCCATCGAGACAGAAAAAATTCACCCTTGTGTTGTCAGTGCAGGCCCACCTGAGGCACTTGAATCTTGGCAGCCCGACCCACCTGTCTGTTGTTGCAATGTTGTAGCCCGACTCCTCGGTCCATGTGCATCTACATGATGTACTTTCACAGTCAACATCTCTTCCTGGGCAGTGATGTCTTCCCACAGTTCAGCAGCCCAGATGGGTTTCCCTCTGCACTGCCAATTGGCCTTTTGCCATCAGTCCAACCACCTCGAGAGCGCATTTGCTACCACCCTCCACGAGTCAGTGCAGAGATTGAGTGTTGGCAGCCTCAGGGTCACCTCTCCAAGGTGGTAACAGTGGTGGGAACCATAACCCTGAGTCACCTGCCAGCTTCAGTCTCAAGGTGTTCCAGCACATGGCATGGTAAGGAAATGATTGTGGGATCAATGAGGTTTGACTCACAGAATCACAATGGTTTGGGTTGGAAGGAGCCTTAAAGATCACCCAGTTCCAACCCCTTTGCCATGGTCAGGGACACCTTCCACTAGACCAGGCTGCAGGATCTCTGCAAAATCACCTCTTCTCCTGCTGGGGAGTTACCTGTTTTTTCCTGTGGTTGTTGTCCTGTCTCCTTGCACAGACACCAGTGAAAAATGGGTCCTTTCAGGATACACTTCACCTCATCACAACCTCTATGGCTAAAATAGATCAGTGAATGACAAAGGTAAATAGTTGTTTCCTCTTGCTGACCCCAGGGAGGAGCTGGCCCAGCTGCAGATGATTGTGCTGTGCCTTTCTATACCCAGGTGGGATGAATCCCACCAGTGCCTCTTCTCTGACCTTTTTTTTTTGCTGTGATTATTTTAGGAGAAGTCTCTTGCTGTCTGTACATCAGAGCCCTGAACTTTGCTGTGGTGTGCCATGTGTTCCCACAACCAGCAAGCATTTGGGAGGAAAGCAGGAATCAATTTGCTCTTTTGCCTTCAGCTAAGAAGAAAAAAAAAAAAAAAAAAGAAAGAAGAACAACAGGTTTATATTTACTATTATTGTTATTATTTGCTCCTTTGAATTTCCTGCTTTCTCATAAAATCTAATGGGAAATGCACTCGCTGACCTTGTAACTCCCAAAACCAAACACGATGCCAAGACTTCTCCACAGGCCAGCTTTCCTTCAGGGTGCCATATGGGATGCAGCCCTTGTTCCTACAGCTCAGGCAAGCAGGTCACCAGTTAGTCACAGTCCATGACACACAAACATTTTGTGGGCAGGAACATGACAAGCAGAGAACACCACCAGGCATCGTGTTTGGCCACATCTGTGCTAGTACATAAAAGGAGGCCAAGGTGGAGTATCAAGCACTGTGCTGAATTGTCTGGGATGTTTAGCTGCTCCCAGCAAAATCATGGACAGTGCCAGGCAATCTTCTCCAAGACAACATCCAGCCAGGGTTTGGGAAGAGCACCTATCATGGGGGTTTTTTTACCTTCATGGAAATAAATGCATCCAGTCTGACTCTCTCTGCCCTGTAAGCTCCAAGACACAGCGGCTTCATGGGGCCAAATACAAAGAGCTAGGCCAATAAAAAGCATTTTGGGAAAAGTCTGTTTGGGCCAGGAGATGTTTGTAATAAAATATTGGAAAGGGAGCTGCTGTAAAGGTCCAATCTGTTATGACCATGAGAGTGGGATGTTTATCTGTTTGGGGTTTCTGTGTGGGGGTAGGAGAATGAGCCCTAAGAAATGCTGGGGGTTGACTTTGAAGTCAGATTTGAATTTTGCAATACAGGCTTTGGATGATGCCAGAGGGAAATGTATCCACTGGAGCAAGTGATACATCCCAGGACATCCCAGCTTGGTCTCTCAGATACCACTGACTGGTGTCAAGCTGGTCCCATTTTCCCCTTCCACCAGAAGTTTTCCACAGCTGGTAAAGACACCTTCTGATTATTTGCTTTTAAATACCCTCCTACATATTTTTTCCTCCTACTTTGGCCAGCCTGGATTTCAAGGGTTGTCCCTGCTTTCCTAATCAGGTGAAATCCTCGAGGAGTGGATTTTTTTTTTTAAGGTTTCTGTTTTTCAGGTGGATGAACCCAAAATACAGGCCCTGAAGTACCAACAGAGCCTGTTCTTCTTTGGAATGTTATGGGGCAGATCTACAAGCATGGAATTGGGCTGGATCTCATGCTCTGAGTTAGATCTTGAGCCCCTGAGTGAGGTCCCTCTCACCAGATGCATCTCACAGCCCTTGGTGTCACTGGGAAGAGCCACATGGAAAACTTTCCCAGTTCGAGAGACCAGGGAAACTGTCTCATAAAACTGCCCTGCTTTGCATTAGCAAAGGCAGCTTGATGAACTCCCCAGCAGGGGCAGGACATGACACCCAACTCCATCCCAGCCACCACATCAGAGACTCGGTGAATTGGATCCAGAAGAGGCAGCTGTGAGTTATGGGGCTGGAATTCCATCAGGGGTTTCTGGGGAGGTCATAAACCCACCAGACAGCTCCCACAAGCTTCCCCCCCCTCCCCCTTCCCGTTCACCCTCCACAAATAGAATTACAGCCCCATAACTCCAGTGGGGTCTGGTTGTCTGCAGAAGGACAAACTCAAGGAGCCATCTGGGGGGGTGTCAGGCTGTAAATCCGTTATTTTTCCTGCCATTCTTCCATCTTCACAGGATAGGCTTCACCCAGGTCTCCTCACTTTCCCCACCCATCCCAGCTTTTTCCTTTCATCTCATTTCTCCTTCCTTTCCTGCTTAATAGAGACATAAAAGCTGTGGGTGTCTGACAGACCAATCCACCAGTGAACCACTTGAATCCAACTCCCTTCCCATCACCCTGGAGAGTGAGAGCAACACTCAGTCTTCTTCCCACTGCTTTTTATCCACAAACCATTCCCTTCCAAACATCTATCCCACATGAAACCTCCTCAATGAAAGGGATACCCTGGTTCTTTTCAAGTTGGGCCAAACAAGGTATTTCCCCTTAATTGCATTCTTTGATGGTTTAGGGGACAAGGGGGGGTGGGGTTGGGGACAACCCTTTATGTTTTTTATGGAATTTCCATGCAGACATTCAGCCTGCAAAACAGAAAGCCAGTCTGGAACATTTCAGCATTGCAAGTTAGATAAAACTAAGTGATTCTATTTGTGAACCTTATTAGGTTTCCTGGACTTCAGAGGTGGTCCATGTTTCCTGAAGATTGCCTTCAGTGGATGGTAAATAGACTGTGGATCCCTTGGAAGTTAAAGCTGGCAAGCATAAAAAAATACCTTCAGCACAAGTTCAGCAAGAGGAAAGTAAATCTGAGTCCAGAAAGGAAGGATTTCTTAGGGCCAGGCACAAAGCTGGGACTAGAAGGGGCTGGTCCAAAGCTTGGGTGACATGTTAGGTCACAGCTCCTCTCCAACAAACCAGCTGGTCAGGTTAAATAAACAGGATAAAACTGGGCTTGAGCACTTGACATTGTATCAATATACCCCATTTTCCCCTTCCATCAGAAGTTTTCCACAGCTGGTAAAGACACCTTCTGATTATTTGCTTTTAGATACCCTCCTACATATTTTTTCCTCCTACTTTGGCCAGCCTGGATTTCAAGGGTTGTCTCTGCTTTCCTAATCAGGTGAAATCCTCGAGGAGTAGATTTTTTTTAAGGTTTCTGTTTTTCAGTTTTGGTTGGGTTTGGGTTTGGTTTCTGCCCATCTTTGGAAGTTGCCTCGTGTGACCAACTCCAGTCTCTTCCTGCTCCTCATTTGAGGCTCCAATGTTTTTCCAAGCTCTCTCATGGAGATAATTATAGCAATTATCTGTCTGTTCTGCAGGGTTCTGCTGCAACCACATCCCAAGAAAAAAAAAACACATGCTAAAATTTAAGGGGAAAAGAAGGTGGAAATAGAGACAGAGAAAGAAAGTGATTGGGCAAACAAATGAGAGCCACATAGTAAATCTGGGAGTGTTATGAGGCAAAACATCTGGGGAAAAAGAATGGATTAAAAAGACTCCAATTCACGACAGAATCCCAGTGAATCCCAGCAGAAAAATACTTTGTGCTCTGTGACCAGCACTGGGGTGTTTCACATATAAGAATGACTTTAATTTAATATAATAAATTGAAGATAGTA